CGAATATGATAGTAAAATGTAAGGAAGAGGTACCAAATCATTGCTGCAATGCCTCCAACAGCATTCAAAAAACCAACAACATGTAAATTTCTTAATGAAACTTTGGAATGCCATCTTCCTAAAGTTTCATTTTTTTTTACCCAATGTAAATGAAAACAAGTTGCAGCTAAAATACCTGCATAATATATTATTAACTTTATAATAAACTTTTATTAATGTTGTAACACTTTGATCTGTGTTTTAATTCAAATATTGTTTACCATATGTGAAAAATATTTGTAAGAAACTATAAATATTACTACAAATCTAAACAAGAAACAATAGTATTTAGTTGTGAAATGTTCAAGAATAGGATATACAACCAACACAGTGGAACGTAATAGCAAGTTGTTTTTATTCCGTATAAAATAATTGATTACTCAGTATTATTGAAGAGATCTTTAATTTTTTTAGGAAGCGTAGAGTCTGAGTGATTTGCAGTTTTTATTATGATATTCTTACATTATCAATAACTGTAAACGAGGTCGTCTTAATCAGTGACTAGGTGTGATTTATCGTTCTAATGAAATGCTAACCTGATAAGAGAGACCAAAATCCAACATCGTGATTTCCATAAATCGCGAAAAACACGATGCAAGCTGATATACCTACTATCACACCGATACCACTTATTATTAAATTTATTAAAATACTTCGTGACATTTTTAAATAGTTGGCTTCACTGCGCAATACATGAATTCGCCGAACCGAGTCCGTACTATCCGGAAACTGTTCAGTATGGAGTTATGCATGAAGTCACATAACTGAATAATCGTTTACGATTACAAAAGAAATTGCATTTAGCTATATAAAATACACAAATAAAATACTACGCATGATATTTTAAATTTATATACAGTACGCAGTCAATATTTAATAGATAATCTTTTTTTTTTGTGTTTAAGAGATTGTATGCTTAACAGCTGTACACTAAATACAATCGGAGTTTTATAATAAAAATCGTTTCTCAGTTGTTTTCGTGAATTATAGAAGCATATCAGAGAATTTGTTACACACATTTCGATAGTAGCATAATTGTTTTGAATCCAATTTTAAAAGATTCTACATATATCCATATATAAAAATATGATGTGGAAGCCTGTCATGATAAAGAAGAAACCTTCTTTATTCAAACGGATGCTGTCAATTTCATAATTTGGTTGTGAATAACAGTTGTGCACTTTAATAAAGTCCAGCATGACAAACAGGCGTGTCGTAAAATAGTTAATAAATATTATATTATACAACTAATAAAAACTACAAAAAAAATATGACGTGGCTGCGCCATCTGTAAAACTGATGGTGAACCCTAACAGCCGTTTCTAATTTTTATACGATGTAATACGAAAGTTATTCACATTCACGTATACTAACATGTACACGTGATTATTGTTCTATCTCTTGTGTTTACGGCTAACAAATAGTGATTGCGTCGTATATTTGTTTTTGTATGATTGTCACCTCTTGAAGCGGATTTTCTGTTCAGCATCGTCGGCCGAAGAGAAACCGAGTCGAGATAACGTAAGACATTTATATTTTTATGCGTTCAAGGCGTTTATTTAATACGTATATTTTTACTTTTTGTTTATAAAAATGAGAAAAAGAAAATTACAAAATCGAACAAGAAATTCGCATGTTTTAAACGATTACTTATTTAAATAAGTAACATTATACAAAACAAGACAAAAGTTTTTTAATTACTTAGTATGGATTTCAATTAAAGAATTGGATTTTAAATTAAAGAAGCGGGAGGTGAAATAATTTTTATTGATCAATTCGTTTACTTCGAATATTCGGCGCATGGATCATTCCTTTTAACGAATGCACCCGCCATTTTTATTTTATTGGAAGTCTCCTTTTCTGTTCTTGCAGCATAACTCTTGCCCCTGTACGACCGTGGGTGTCTTGATACGTTGAATAACTGCCGTGTAACAATTTAGGTCTTATGTATCCAAGCACTAGGTACATTTAAAACAACAGTAAACAATCTTAGTTAAACATCTACTTTTTTGGGAGCAATGGAATTAAGTGTACAATAAATATCCGTGAACCCAGTGTTAAATACTTGTAATTATTTAAAATTGACATTCGAAAATTAATATTCACACGAAACAGATATTGGATTATTGATATTAATTCATGAGTATTCTTAATAAGAATCTTGGATAATAATACTATAGGAAGTTAGAGCTTTTTACTAATAGTTATAGTTGTCAAGAAAATTCTATTACCTTTTTCATTTGGATTATCAACTATTATAATGAAACAACAGCACTATAGCAGTAACAATCAAAATATATAATGGCTTCAATCTTTTATATTTAATACCTAATTGTCGTATTTGGAATTTTTTTTAATGTTTGGGGATAAATCTTACTACGTTTCGCGGTAACAGGTGGAGCGAGAATTTTTTCGTCGTGAGGATTAAAATATAGTCCATGAATGTACAGCAATAATTCACTCTCGAAGTCTTTCTCCTTGGTCTCGGTCTTTTCACCTGTTGTTTCTTCTCGAGATCGTTTTCGGGGAATCCCTACACTTTGAAATACATTAAGACTGAGTGGCAGCTCGCGAATCCTGATTTCGTGTAGGAAACTATATAAATTATTTTCAATACTCGAAACAATCTTTTTCTGTTATTAGAGGAAAAACTTAATTCCTAAATTCTGTATACTGAGACCTTAGAAATCTTGTTTTTAACTCCTTGTTTAGAGAAAATCTAGGCATAAAAAGAGCACAGAATTTTTGGTTTCTCTGTGAATTCTTAACGATAAGCAGTTCTAACAACTGTATCTGCAGAAGTAAATAGTAGGTTAACCTTTTAACTGGGTATTTTGAAAATGTGAACGCGAATGTGAAGAACTACTAAGAAATGAAATTGAAATTGAATGATGAGTTAACTCTAATTAACTCTTAATATGACGCCTTACAATGATTTTTGTAGTTGACTTGATAAACCGATCGTTGATAGTAAAGATTGTGTTTGTAAACTAATTGTTCAGCTTCTTTGTCGAGTTTCGTAGGGATTGATGCCGAGCGGGGATCGATTTCTCCTTCTTCGATGCGTTCGGAAAATCGATCTCTTGGTATAATTCTGCGAAAATTGTGATATAAATAATAAGTTAAATCCTGAAAAATTTTAATCAAATCGACTGTATCCAATTAATGTTTACATTTTTGCCGGTACGGGTATTCTCTTTACATATTTCAGACTATATTCGGTGGGAAACAATCGACAAGAACTAGACATTTTTTACATAGAATTTATTAATATCCTTATAAAGGAGAAAGACAATATAAGAATAAAAATTCAATTGGTTACCGAGATGATGAATCAAAGATGGAGTCTACTTAGTTAACTTTGTACAACAAAGGTGGCGACTTATTAATAGAAATTATACACGCATGATTATGAAACTGTATATTTAATATATTGAATGAAAATCGGAATATTTAAATAAAAACAAAACAAGACTATGAATGAAGTTTAATAATGTTTCAACTTTATTCTGAATTCGACAAAGTTATTGACAACATATATGGATCATTAATTTTTGATCATTTATGTGAATAAGGATTTATATAAATGTTCGTCACGTTATTTTTGTATAAATTTCTGTGAAACATTTGGAGGATCTTTTCACAATCATTTTTATCGAAGTTGAAATGTTTAATGACTGGTGTTCATAATTTGCAGTCGCCGAATCTTCGTCTCGATGAAGGCATCGGTTCCAAGTACTGCTGACGGTTTTTCATGTTACTCAAACCCATTTTACTAATAGTGCTCATGTACTCTGAACGGCTGGTGAAAGGTTCCTCCCACAAAGAGAAAGTTTCTGGAACTAAGTGAATGCCCATTTGCATACCATTGTATCATTAATTCGAAATTGCATCGGAAATTTGGATATGTTTCTTTGCCGTTATAAGCGGAAAAGAAACTACAACTTATTTGTATCATCCTTGAAAAAATAGTCCAAATTTAAGGGAGAACAAAAATATTCATGAAGTACAGCACATTTGTTCTATTGTTTTATTTATTTTTACCTGTCTTTTATCTACTGCTTCTATTCAGGAAGATTTCTAAATTCGAAACCGGTTACAATTCTTTCTTACAATATTTTTAGATAGAGAAATGCTTTTTTACCTTCAAAGAAATTAATGGTTTTAGCTGGTTGTATATGTGGTCTTTCGATAGCCGTGTATCGGAATCTATTAGGATCTCTGTATCCCTGTTTTATTTCCAAAACTTCTGTCGGGATTGGGGAACAGTATGGTGAATCAACCGCAGCGGTCAGTTGCCTGTATTCCTGGATTGGTAAACCTGAATTCATTGGAACACAGTGACCGCAAGTCAATTTTTTAAATTCTGTATGTATGAATCTCGTTTCACTTAAACTTTTTCAAAATGAAATGTGCATATACATGTAAATATATAAATATATAAATATATAAATATATAAATATATAAATATATTAAGCATTAAATATTTGTATTTAAATAATTTTAACTGATCAGTTGTTGGTACATTCACTTCATATTGATCATTTACAATTGTACGGAGCAAATTAAAATTTTACTTTTTACCTCTTCTCGAGTAGTCCGTTTTATAAACGCTTCTCATTGTTTCATCCATTCGTTCGCAATTACTGTCCAACATCGCCGACGTTAGAGCGGTCATTTCTCGATTAACTTTTATTAGTTGATTGTAAATTTGTCGCTCTTTGTCGGCTAGATATTTGTACCTGCGAATGTATTCCAAATAAAATTTCATTGTGACATTTAAATTTTCTTAGTGAATCACGTGCAAATGATCAGTAACCAGTTCGCTGTCATCATTCGTTCCAACAAATCCATTAAGTAAAATATTGAAAAAACTGAATCTATAAAGAGTTATTGAGTTCTTAAATATAATGTCATATGTTAAAACTTTAAATTAAAATAAAACTTCGAAATTAAATTAAAATATGAATATAAATAAATTGAATTAATCTTTAAATGAATGGGACGTATTGTTCACCTGTTCTTCTTATTCTCTTGGCCATGAACGTCGCACGGGCAGTCTTCAGGGTCGATTCGAGGTGTGAACACCCGAAACCCTGTGTTCATCGGTGGTTGAGCCGGTTTCGCCACAAGAGGCACTCCATACGGCCAGTTGAAATCATCGTGAGTAATCGTGGTGAAATTTTGTTGTATTGCAGCCATAGTGCATCAGCAATTTGATTGCGTCAAAAGTGTAACAGCAGAATATACGGAAACTTTAAAAAAATGATTAATCATTCGATCAGTATCTCAACAAATTCGTTATACTCATTGTTTTCCTTATCGTCGTTGAATTTGGCCAAAATTTCAATATGATTATTTAAGAATTCCTACAATTCATAAACTATGTACTAACATAGGTATATAAAACAACACATTGTCGTTTAGTTCAATTAAATTAACTATGTACAAATATATAAACTAACATATTATTGTTTATCCTTCTTTATAATATATATATAAACCGTCATATTTCAGTTTAGTCAGTAGAGTGTATTCGAGAGCAACAAGTTGTGAAGTTATAAGAATTTTAAGTTCCACAAATTATTTTGTATAGTAGAAAAACAGAACTTATAGGGCGACCTAATAGATTTGTCGAATTCAGTGTTAAATTTTCATCATGAGTCTAACACGATATCACAGGAAAAGGTGTTAATCGTTTTGCAAATTTCGAGATTACTTAACTCACCGAGAATTTAATTGCTAGTAGACAGCGGCTAGGCGTTACATGAAAAGGATGGTTGGTTTGATGCGTCGGTGCTCGTTGCACCGGCGGGTTTCGATAGCTTCCGAAAAAACCAGCATAACGTTTCTTTGGCCAGCGCGATCGCGGTGATGACGGCTTTATAGAGTGCGTAGTGCAGCACAGCGTTTAAGAACGTGATACCGATACGCGCGACGACGGAATCGGTCGTCACCGTTATGTCGTTCATGCCCGCGATATCGAGCCACTTCGAACGAGCATCTTCGCTTTCCAGGGAAGCCTCGAGCATCCTACGGTTCGTCTACGAATTTATCGAAATCATTTTCGTCCTTTCGCCTGAAGTTTAGAGAAAGAGATCCTTTTTATAAAGAACAAAAGAAACTTGAAATTTATACGAGTGTACGTGGACGTTGAATCATTTCACGTTGTTTGGTATCAGTTCGATACTTTGCACAGGGTGTTTAAATTATAATTAATCCTACGGCGGACGACCGACGTCTTTTTCCGCACGCTTAATTCTAAGTTCTTGATTCGAGCATGACACGAATCAGAGAAGTCTCCGATTCAACGAGAGCAAAACTGAGGGATACAATCTTAATTCTAATTTAGTTTAGTCTTACAAACCTATACATGAACCGCAATATGCCGAGCAATTATCGAGGCGTGAAACAAAGGGGGCGAAGGAAGTCCTTGATTCGACAATGAGAGAAATCAGAGAAGTTTTTGATTGAAAGTAGGCAAAATCAGGGTGACGAGAAGCAAACCGCGATCAGACTAGGCAGAATTACAATGTCGAGTTACGATGTTCCCAGACGCCAGCGTTCCTCCATTTACTTCTCAACGCCCTGCCCTCAAAAGAGGAGCGCGGGCGGATTACAAAGAAGTAGGATCTCCGTGACAATTACGGCTTTGATGGGCACAGGCCAACCATGTCGCCCTTTTCACGGGTTAATTTTTCGAATTTTTCATCAATACTATTTTCGCAAGTCCCTGACATTACCGGCAAAGGTCTTTGGCAGACATTTCCAACCGATCAACCAACACAACACGGAATCAATGGAATGCGAGGAATATTTATCGCTGTTTGTGTAGTTAAACACGTTTAACACGTCCGTTACCACTAAGTGTCTTTTCTGGTTAAAAATTGAATATTAACTGCTTGCAATCTAAAGGTGACTCTCAGTAAAATTATGAAGTTTGATATTAAATGCGCCGGAGAGAATTTTCCTTACAAATATTCATTATTTTCTGTTGAAATATTGATAGTGAAATATTGAAATATAATTTATTTCTACATTTCATGTGTTGATACCTAATAAAAAATTGAATATTGAATTTCAGTGTTCATAATTTCAGTATATAGAATCAAATGGCGAATGAGAATCGCCTCTCGAGTGCAAAGGGTTAAATACTAAGACTTATAACGCATCGATATGTAAAATATTGGAATAAAATTTCGTTTCTCAATTTACATGTAATTTCTCGTTCAGTTACTTTAAAAAATGTTTATATCTAATCAGAAAATGTCGAATATGTTTTATCAAAATCCCATAAGTACAAAGGGATAATAAACAACAAAATAATCCTCCACTTTCCTCAAAAAGCGTAAAGGAAAAGTCATTTTCGCAACGAAGGACAGCGTTTATTAGATTCCTGAGAAACCTTCGGCACAAGTCTGGGTCAAAGCATAAGGGTTAAACAGAGCCAACCGAGGTGTCGCTAAATTTCCGACAAGGTGAGCCTGTTCTAGCGACGCGTTCCATTTTCTGCTCGTCCGCCTCGTTTCGCGTCTCGTTCTCCGTTTCCGTTTCGCAGACGCGATCGCCGCCCGAAGGAATTTTAGAGTACGCTCGCGAGTCCGCGACAGCCCGCTTGACCCTTGGCCGGTCATTCCGCGGCTCTATCGTCGAGAAGATGTGCTCCTGGGGGCTCAACGAGGTCGAGTTCAAAAGGACCTCGTCCTGGGATTGGCTGCAATTCCGTCGTTGAACGCGACCCCTCGCCGTCGTGAAGATTTGCCTCGTCGTCTCTTGAATACAACCGCAATTCAGCTTCGTGATTGTCGTCATTGTGCCGCACGGTTCCAGGCTCTGAAACGTGTGCGGTTGATGATCGATTATTAGGTCATCCCATAAGTGTGTACAATTCTAGGGATCTGATGCTGAGAGATGCAAACGAATTATTGAGAGTTGAGTTTTGATATGAAGTTTATCGAGTTACGCGCGACGTTCATGCGTGGCGCATTGGTGACTAATTGTTTGTCAGTTAACTGCGTTTGACGAGTATACGCGTCATCTTAACGGTATTTCTACCGGAGGCGTCAAAAGATACCTTTCGAAATTTGAACTTAAAATTATTTTCCAAGATTAGTCGCATATTCTGAATTGGCTTTTCGACTTTTGCAATAATGATTATAAAATTGACTACAGGAAATACCCTACATTCAATTGAGGAGAAGCTATTATACTGAGAAAACAATTATAAGTATAAAACGATGATACTAATTCTTTCAACGATGAATTCTTTATTACTGATTATTTTTTAAAGCAACCCCTTCGAAGCTCTGCACAAATTCTCAAATTCTCCAGAACACCTTTCCCAAGAGTAGTTATCGCTAAAAATAATTTGAATCTCCATAATCATCCACGATTTAATAATAACTTCATGAGCCTAATTGGAAGTATTATTAGATGTAAATGATCTTACGATTGTTGCAAAGAAACTCAGATTCAATGTTTGTGAATTCATTGCAAGAACATGACTGAATCAATGAATATGTAACAACGCCACTAAAGAAAAGGAAGGAAAAAGGTTAACAAGAAAATTTTAACTACGAGCCGCAACTGGTTTCAAGAAACGAAATCGATAAATCAAAGCAGTTTTTAACGCCTGGTCTCGATACTTATGTACATTTTTCATTCGGATTCCAGAAAACGGATGGAAGCTGGCGCTTTGTAATTTCCCTCGAGGGTTCAAAGGTTGCGCCATCGCCCTCGAATCGTAATAATCGGTAATCAGCCGTTTCATCTCCTGCGTGTAGTATCTGTCGCTGACGTCCCGTTTCATCTGCAGCTCCTTCAGCTTTCGCAGCTTCTGCACCGCGGATATCGTTTCGGGCGAGTACATGCCGGCGTAGTCGGAGAAACGCGAGTATTTCTCACGTACGGCAGTGTTATCGGCTCTCGGTGCAACGCTGACGTAAACAGATTCGTTCGGATAGTTCTGTAACCGCGAGAAACAGCGTTCAATTAACGGAGTAGAAATCATTCTGTCTAACACTTTTACTGCCACAGCGGTCACCGATGACCGAAGCTTTCAAATTACAAGAAAATAATTATGACTTGGAAGATAATTGTTTTCGAGTATAAATTTTCTGTAACGTTAATAGCTAAATAAAAGGGTAATATAAGAATTTTCATATCAAAGAATTAATAATTCTTGCTTTGTTTCTTTGTTATAGAAGGAATAAGTGATACATAAAACACTGATGTTTCTCGTGGCAGTCAATGTGTTAACACGTTTACTGCGACGAGAATTCCGATTGTTTTGTGTATATGGTAATACTTATTCTTTCGTAGCGAAGGCGAATGGTATTGGAAATAATTAGTGGGCTGATAACGAATTGGAAATGAATAATTATAAAGTTCATAAGTAATTAAAAACGTTAAAAATTGTACTGCAGAGGTAATAAAATTTATACGATTTTAAAATTTATAAAACACAATAAACAGGTCAGAGGGTAGGATATTCTTGTGATTGACGACGAAAACTTTTTGTAAACGTAATTAGAATTCTTGTTTGTAGTCTTACTTGAAATTTTCTTTTAGATTTGCTGTAATACGAAATTTACTTATTAACTGCGGAATTTAGGTTTAGTAATAAAATGAAATTGTGACGAATCTACACGTTAAACGCAGGGGGAATGTATTTAATATTCATTGTAATAAAAAAACTAAAGGAAAGTGAAGAAGAACTACATGCTTATTTGGGAAACTGAAATAACGGATTGAATAATTTATCGTTGAAGTAATGAATTGAATAATTATTAATCAATGAAATAATTAACTGTTGAAATAACTAATCAAATAAGCAATTGTTGAAATAATTAATCGAATAAACAATTGAATGATTAATTGCAAAAAGTAACTATCGTTGCGTTCAATTTAATTCACATTTAATTCCATAATCAACCTTTGAAACAACCAATCAAATAATCAATTATTGAAACAATTAATCGAACAATCAATTGTCGAAACAATTAATCGAACAATCAATCAATTGTCGAAACAATCAATCGAACGATTAATTGCGAAAATTAACTATCGCCGCGTTCAATTTAATTCATACTTTCCAACTACCGTGTTCGATAAGAAACTATTCAAACATGAAACACGGGGTGGAAAAACCACTTGCTAGTGTGTTCCCGAAAATTTCAGTTTCCTGGCACTTGTTGAACGGTTCCTACGATTCAGTTTACGTCACAGCGTTCAGCTTGTAAATGTTAAAATAAACGCTATTAATCATACGTTATTCTTATTAACGTAGGTGTCCTCTAGGTCGCCGACAGACTCCTCGGATGTCTTCGTTCCCAGATATTTTATTTCGTGCTCGCTGTCGCATGCTTGCCGATAGAATCTCGAATTCGTGTACGGGACACTGTTAGGGCGCATTTCCTTAACCCAGTTGTTCTTTGTCAAAGTGGTAGTGTGCGACGACGACTTCCGTCGATTGTCCATCACCTTCGGCGGACATCTTGGTTCCGGGATTCGATTAATGTTTCAGGGAAATACAAAAAAATTTCATTATAAATGTGTAGATTTTTTTTGCGCTTAGACAGGACAGCGCCAAAAGTATTTTCCATTCGGATACATAAACTTTTATTGGCTTTCCATTAAAAAATTGAAAAACCTTGCTCCGCTGCAAGACGTAAATACTTTACACAAATAATTCATGGATAACTTTAGATAAACTGGAGTTAATAACGTTTACAAGCGAAGAGAATACTTGTTACTTATAAGTACATTATAAATTAAAGAATTAAAGGATCAACATATAATAAAAACTGTCAGAAATAATTGAAAATATAAGAAATAAAAATTGCACGTAAGCATTGACTACTGGTTATTGCAATAGAAAACATGTGTCAGGAAGTGTTCTGCAATTTATACTTTGCTAGTATGAACGTTAATTACGGAAGGATGAATATTAATCTATGGAAATTGTACGCTGTTTATATACTTTGGTCGATTAACATATCAACTTTGTAACTACCAACAGTTTTTTATATACCTAACGTATCCAATTAAATAACTGGTTATAAAATGAAGGTAAACAAGTTAGACGATAAATTTGTCTTATTGGAAACAGGAACAAGAGGAAAGGTAAAAATTGAATAATCGATTAACACTGACTGCCACGAGAATTTCCAGCGTTTCGTTACAGTAAAATTTATTCGTTTATAATAGAGGAAAATAGTATTAGGAATAATTATTAATGTTTTGATATTGCAATATTCATATTACACTATTATCTAGCTTCCTGAGTTACTGGATATTTTCATTCAATATGAATTTTCTTATTGTAATTGTTTTCAAGCAATTTGGAAGCTCTGGTCACCAGTGACCACCGTAGTAGTCAACGTGTTAATCGAACAATGCAGTGTTCTGAATTAAATTTAAAAACCAGTTATTCGACCTCACGGTGCGTTTAGTGTTAAATAGAGGTTGTAGGTTATGAAAGACAATTACTCGTCGGACATTTTGCCACGAATGCGACTAGGAGACAAGGTCGTCATTTTGATTCACCCTTTGAGACACACCGTCGAGAATCGCACAGCGATTTACGCATTATTACGTAAAATTTTCCTCGCAACACTGTCTTTTACCGGTTTACATAATTTGTTTATCCTTCGCGCTGCAGACTGTCGAGGACCGTGGCCGACTTCAAGGCTCTAATCGTCCATGGTGAAATTTCTCCATTAAGGAAATTTATTCTAACAATCGAGGCATGGTAGAATATTGGAAAAACAGAATTAGCAGAATTCTAAAAATATTTGAAATATATTATCTCCTCCTTCATAGACGAATTTTGATAAACCTTTTATGCTTTATTCCTTCAATGCTTTTTGAAAAATATTTAAAGTTTTTTCAAATGTGTCTGACAAAAACCTTTTGGGTTCTGTAATAATGAAGTGTGACGTTTTAGAAAAGTAACAAAATTCGACATATTTCGAATATTGATATTTAAGAACACTTTTTATTTTCTTTGATAGGTGCGGAATAAGAAGTCCGTTATGTTTAATATGTTCCATTTATTTAACCACCATTGCCCATGTTGGCGCCGGAGCTTTCCTTTGATGAATTCTCAAGTTCATAATGGCACTGCCTAATTTACTGATACTATCTTGGTACTCGGAACGCCACGGAGGTGGTCGTGTTTCTTGAGTCTCTTCTTCGCCTTTCTTTTTCAATGTTTTTGCTTTACTCTTTTCATCACGTTGACTGCGTTTCTTAATCAATTCAGCTCGAGCGGAAGGTCTGCCATTTTTCTTGTATTTCTCTGAGTCGATGTCGCTTTCTATTCTTTTCTGCATCGTTGCGTCACCTGTTGTAAATAATATAATAATATTTTCAATATTACAAACTGTATTGGCAATTATATTATAAATTTAAGAACTATTATACATTACAAGTAATAATTTCAATATTAGAAATTATATTGGAAATTTGAAAACTATTATAAATTATAAATAATTTTAGTGCTACTTTGTATCTCTCTACTTCCACATTTTCATTTTTTTTTCTACCACTGTTCCTTTTTACGAAGACTAAACATATTTGTGCTAACAAATTTTCATATGTTTCTTTGAGATCTATGCAATATATGCAAAAATAGATAATAATTTTTTGAACGGTCTCACAAATGTGAAGGAGAACCACAATCTTACAGGAACCAATTCTCAAACCTTTTTCGCCATAGTCCACTTGGTATGTCGTCTTCAATCGATCCTGGTCCACTCGATGAATGATCTCGTCCTCTGTCGAGCTTTTCAGAATTCCATAGAGATTAGGATGCTTTTCTTCTAGCTGCAACAATAGTAACAAAAATAATTATACATTTTAGTTATAATGTAATCAACTAAGATTTCAATTGGTTCACAATTTAATTTGCATATCACCGAGTTAATTCAATACTTTCTTAGAAATCTATCCATTGTCTTTTCAATAACTGCGAAAGGAAGAAATCAGGAATAGGTCATTTTGAACCGTCCAGTAGTTCTACTGTTAAATACTCTAGTGAACTAATGTAAATTTTATATAATGTAATCAATTGAGATTTCAGTTGATTCGCAATTCAGTTTGCGTATCGTCAAATCAATTTAATAATGTCTCAAATATGCGCCTATTCTCTTTTCAATAATTGCGAAAGGTAGAAACCAGGAATGGGCCATTTTGACCCATCCGGTACGTTCAATTAGTTCCACTGTTAAATACTCTAGCGAACCAATGTAAATACGATCGAGCAATTACTTTTCTCAGATAAGTGTTCGGCTGATCGAATTTCGTCACTTCCGATTCCGGGTGAGGGCCAGTTTTCGCGGGGTACAACTTGGGATCGAGAAGCCGTCCCATAGGACCCGTGCGGCTCCAACTCTGCTGGTCGCCGCACAGTTCGATCACTTTTAATTCGCGTGAACCCGTGTCGCATCGACAATGCTCTCCATCGCGAATCGTAGGCGACGCGTGTTGGATCCTCCTGGACGGCCATATATAATCCTTTTGATACGTTGTGGTGAAGTGATCCATCCTGAGCTCTTTATGCTTCTATTCTATATTTCTGAGCCATGCCAGTACTGCGAATACGATTTTTATGATTACAAAGAATTTGCTTTGTCAGCGTCCATTTATTTTGCTTCTTTTCCTTCGTTTCTCTCAGCGAAAGTCTATAATGTTGAAAGAAGTTTCTTGCTTTCGTGATTCTCTTTTTACTTTGTTTTCGGCGTTCTCTACTCTGTTTTGGAATTTATGCTGTTACGTACGAAATAGAGATTTATTTTGTTTAGAGAATAGATGAGTTGACATTTCGACTGCCACGAGAATTTTGGGTATTTCGTATGATATTATCCGTTACATCGTAAATTTACATTGTAAATGGTATTGGAATTAATAATGAACGATATGATACCATAGTTCTCGAATGACAATATTATTTAGTTACTCACGTTACTGGATATTTTGATTTGAGATCGGTTTTGAAATCACTTTGTGCGATGGTTTTTGAACAACTTGTGAACTCCGATCATTGGTGATCGCTATGGCAGTCAACGCGTTAATAAATAAATGAAACGATAATTAGAATGTTGAAAAATAAATTGGGTAGTAGGGTGTTTCAAAAGAAATTAGTATTTTTGAATAATAACTTTACTATTGTCTCCTTTCAACTGGTTGTTCGAGTAATTTGCTCCACTACGAGTGCTTCCGCCATTTTGGACAATATTAAAGGGTTGGAGTTAGTAAACTTCATAGTTCCAAGGCGTCCGTAATGCAGTCGCGAAAGTTTCTTTGGAACTGGAGATGTAAGAAACTTAATTCGATTATTTTCCTGTACAATTTCATAAAGAATTTCAAAAATATTGTACTATGCTACTTCGAAAAGAATAGATTTCGAGATATTTCAGTCGAAAGATTATTTGAAACGTTATTCTTTAAACAGTAATCATTTTACGTTACTCGATTCTCGTACAGAATTCGCGATACAATTATTGGAAAGCTTACATGCAGGAGAAACTTATTATTAGTAGTTTGTCAAAACAACACGCCAATATGTCACGAAAAAACATGATCTTACACGATTTCCACATTTACATGGTTCCTTATTTAAAGCTTCATCCGCGACGATCTTGAGGATCCATTTTCGTGTTGGTTTTTTCCGCGAGAAAAAAGAAGTGCGCGAGTTTGCGAAACGCGAGGGATTAACGGAATTTAAATCATGTTTGCTGCCAAAGTTTCTCGCGTTCCGTCCACGTTTTCCGCAGTTATTTCACGGGAAGCATGGCGTGGGACGTATACACGGACAGTTGTCCTTGGATAAGATGGAATTCCGTTGGTCACGCGATAACGATTCCAACTGTCAACAACGCAGCGACGTTCAGGCCTTTAGGGTCGCCATTGAACGTGCTTTGACAGCACTGATTAGTGTTTAGTATATTTGTATATACGTAATTACGTACAGACCATGAAAATGCACTTTCATGATGTCTTATTGTAATGTTTATTGAATAGTAAATTGTAATAATAAAATTTGAGAAATCAATTAACTCAACGCATCGCTTTATTATTCATCTCAGATTTCAGTTCTCTATTTTCCATAGAGGAATTTACAAATTAATCATTTACTAATATCGATTGACACTAGGTTTACGGAATGCGCCAATTTATAATAAAAAAGTTTTCCGTTGAAACTAAAAATAAAGGATTTTCTTCTGGCCTCCCTAATATCTCAACAAAGAACTAATTAACACTAAAAATACGATCAATTAAAGGGACTTATTTCTACTTCTTTTTACAAAAATTAGAATAATACGTTCCTTGAGACGCGAAAGTTCTAGTCTCGTATCCGCGCAAATGCACGAAAACTTGAAGTCTCTCAAAAAAACGCCTTCATAATTTAAATATTTGCAGAACAAAAATCCTGAAGTAAGTCAATATAACCTGTCTGTTAGTTGTAGCGTTAACTTAGGAAAACGAAAAACGAACAATGGCTTCACTAGCAATCTTGATAGCTACAATATTTCGTTAAATGCAAGAGAAATCGTCTTGATAAAATGGAAATCAAATTCAAGACAAAATTCTCGTCAATTTCCTATGTCTAACGCCATGCGTTACTATTTTAACCCTTTGAACTGTGTAGACTCCAATATTGCACCAGTTATAATATTAAATATTTTAATGAATCTCAAAGAAACTACCCTAAAATTATTAGATTTTCCGCACATCCAAATTTTGTACTAAGAAGGAAAATGAAAGATCGAAGAAATGTTATAGCATTTCTCATTTTCGCTGGGAATACGTTAAAAATTAGTTGCAGTTGCTGATAGATTACAAAACAACCTGGAGTGCCAAGGGTTAAATGCAGACACGTGAAAGAAATCGAATTTTCTCTACGCGAAACACAGAGCGTTGAACGCCACTAATCTGTGACATTGGTCGCGAAAGTGTTAACTGCTCGCCGGATGAAAGTTCAGTAATTTCGCCAGTTCAAACAAACGGGTCGGCGGTTGCACGACTGCCGTCCCGGTGAACAGTCAGCCGCATATGATTTTAAGTTGCAACGTCGGCTGAACAAATAAACCGTGTCCAATAAATAGTCAAAGACCGATGGCGTTCGCGCGTTTACGCGCAATACGGAACAAAGCTGCCACGTATTAACGGAAGATGGCACCGTCCGCTTGAGGATTATTTTGTTTGGCTTGTGGCCACTTCCAATGGAAAATTATCCATTTTCCGTGTCAATATTTCTGCTTGACGTAGTCAATTTGAAATAAAAAGGTGAACGAGGCGGAAATTACTTCCTTAACACGTGGACTGCTACGAGAAACTTCAGAGCTTTATGTATCGCTTATTTTTTTTGTACCAGAGATAAAAAGAAACGATTACTTCTTCTTATCGCAATTATTAGGTTACACTATTATCTAGTTATTTACGCTATTGAACATTTTCATTCGACGTCTGTTGCTTGACAAATTATAATTGTTTTCAAGTAATTTGGAAACTCTGGTCATCGGTGATCACCTTGGCAGTTAACGTGTTGAACAGTAGAACCGTCGTTACTCGAGTTCTTGATAATGGTGTCTTTACTTGTTTGGAATTTTATATTTTAAGTGAGACAATGGATGAATAGTTTAGAATAATAGTGGTGTAACTACTATTTCTCAGTTAAAAGAAAAATTTTGTGAAATGTTATTGGTTCAAGTAGATTTAACTTCGATTAATTTAATTAATCTTAAATTGATTAACTTATATTATAATGTTGTTAATGGTATTGATTATTATTAATGATTAAGAACTTGAAATTAAGAAGTGTCTCTCAGTCGCTATTTAACTTGATACAGTAAAATTATACATTTTGGTATTTGATATTGTACTTTGTATGATGCAATACTATGTGAAATATTGATAAATAATACTTTTATTCCTTAATTTATGTGTGAATTATGGTTAAGTTATTTTCGAAGAATATCGTCTACATCTTATTAGGAAATATTAAATATTTCAAGCGAAAATGTTTGCTAATGGAAAGGGTTAGTAATAATAATTATAATGTTGAACATTCACTTTACATTTCTTCTACATGTGCACTGTAGATCTGTTGATCAATTGTCTGATCAATTTAGATCTAATATTTTATTCCTATTAAAAACCGTGGCTTAAAGACCATTTTTCAAACATTCGAAAAAGATCTTAAACCAATATTTTCCGATAAACCCGAACAAAACCTCAGATGCACGAAAGAACACCTAATCACTTTAGAACGATTATATCTCAATCGAACAATACAACAAAGAAATCCCATTAAACCGAGAAACCGCAGCACTAATCGAAAACAATCGAGTCCTCCAGAATGTCTGCTTCGACTCGTTCCTAAATACAATTTTTCTGAAAGTATTACACAACGCTGTCACGTAACAAGAAGTCAGTGGGTACACATGAATGAAATCCAATCCTCGTCTTACATAAAAAGTGTCAGTAAAACTCGACGCGAGACTCGTAGCAAGATAAAAAGAGTCGGTTCGCGTAGATTGCGCCGTGTACAAGCTCGATTCACGTCCCATCGATCGTCCCCAACATTGTAGATCGTCGTTAATCTTCAGGGATCCGTACTTTCGACCGGCGCCGCGGCATTACTATTTCAGCGCGAGTAATATTAGTACTTTGCAGGAAATTCGTATGTAAACCGACTTAATTTTGCGCGTTAGGAACGATTCGTTTCAGTCGGTTGCACGGCATCAATCTTATTCTCACCCCTACTTTTTCATCGGTGGTTGGCGCCGGTCCAAGACCAACAGATAGTTCAATGTGGAGAACTAGACACAGGCCACCGACTGCAATCGACAGTACACCGAAGTCGTGCACGCTTTATTTAGAGATACATCGGTTCGAGAGTTCGGTCACTCCGCTTCCGGAATCCGTCGTGTCTTCACGACGATTCACCGAACCTATTCGGATTCCCAATAAACTATACAGCGAGCGGCAGTCACCTTCCGTCAAACAATGGCAACATGCACCGGCGTTCATTATCGCGTTATATAAAGTACCGAGCGATATAGTCGGCGTATTATTAGTATGCGAGTGGCTCAGAACAATAGTGCAACTCATATTTCTCAGGTGTTGAGGGAAGAAAGGTTCTGCGAAACGTCGTTGGATTTGTTGGATGTTAGTATTGTAGCTAGCGGTAATTAATGGTATTGATAACATTGTGATATTACAGTTAATCATTTCTGTGTTTGATAATATGGTGATGGTACAATTAATGATAATTACAATAATCACAATATCATTGAATGTATTATAAATATACTGTTTATAATAATATTGTAATATTACAGTTAATAATAATTACTATTATTGATGATATTGTTACAATTAATAATGTCAATAATTAATAATAATTCATATTATCGATAACATCGTAATATTAGTATTTAATGAATGCAAGAACATTCGGTAAAAGATGTTTTTCTTGAAAACTCGGAAGTAGGAGTTAGATCACTATTCTAAGTCGTTCATATCTCCACTGTAAAAACCTCTAGAATTCGAATTAGTTGTTTCACGTTTAATATGTATTCTACATATTATTTTATATTAATACCGAAAACTCGATAGCGTGAAGTCTCAATCATTATGACTCTAGATCTCTGCTCTATGACTCGAAGACCGTCTTCTCTTCACTATACTTATATTATATTTCATGATATAATTGAGCTTTCGGTATCCGAATTAACCGTCATATTCCTTTTTCATATAGTATCCACATTGATAATGTTTCCACGAAACTGTAATCTACAGTCACGCTGAAACGTGTGAAAAGCGATTACGTAAAATTTATTTTCAAAATTCTAGAAGGCAAAGATACATTCGATGCATATCTGTTGCACGTGGAATTCACTTGTAAATTGTATTTACAGTGGTGAATGGGGATCCAGAGTGTTAAAGAAATTTAAAAATAATCAAACAACCATTTTCCTAATGATGAGTATGATTTATTTAAATGAAAATCGTGAAATGTTATTTTCGAAATAGAATACAGGGATGTATACAAAGAGACAGAAAGTAGAATAATATTTTTGTATCGGCAGTTATGCTTCTAAGAAAATCAATTTTGAAAATTCACTATGTTACGTGTTGGTTACATAAGCAACAATGGTCGTGTGACACACCAATACGTATTGTGTTCGCATATAGTATGCACGTAACTTTTACGAGATGTTGCATGAAGTATCATATTTTTGTTGATATTAGTAACAATATTGCGTTGCCGTGCAACCTTAAATTAACGTACATCTAAATCTGTTCTTCTGTTTACATTCAGTGCGTTATGAAGATGCTAATTTACAATATCGAACGATTGCTGCTGTACCAGGTAAACATACGCCGAAACTATCAATTTTAGCATATAAGTGTATAAAACGTTATCTATTCGTAATTACTGGCTCATAGTAGCAGTAATTATTAATTTGTATCACACATTGCGCGTCAAACATGCGTTTCTTTTGTTTAATTTTTAATCTCATTTGTACATTTGTTTTTTCGTTGAAAGCTGAACAAAAGACTTCGTGACTGTTATACGTAGTACAAAGAAATTGGTTGAAATAAATCTTTTATCCATCTCACCTACAGAATATAATATAATCTAATTACTATATGATATAATCTAATATAATATCATTGCGATGCATCTAAGACAGTCCTGCAATGTTTTGCAAGGATGAAGACGGTTTGATTGAACGTTGACGAAAAAGTTAGCCTTCGAGAGACTGTAGAATCGAACGGACACGGTGAATATTGCTCTTAAAGGTTTAATTTGTATATAGAGTAAATTCATTATTTATATATTGTACATAAATGATACTCGTTATTAGTAAACGATATCGCGAGCGAGTACGCTGAGTCGTTACAATATAAAATCATAACATAACCATAATATAATATTATATAAAATAACATAATATAACACAATATACTATAACATAACATAATATTATAAAATAGAACACAAAATCCATCCATTTTCTTTAACATCAGATTCACAGAAAATTCGATACTCGTTTATCTAGATTCCGAAGAAAGATACATTTAAAAATAGACAATTAATCCTCCATATTCGTGTAATTGCATCAATCGAACTCTACCGTTGATAAACATTCGCCAAATAATGTTTATAAAATTCGCTGTCCGTCAAACTGACGCGTTCCGTAAACCCAGCGTGAAACACCCCGCTGAAAGTCCTCTACAAAGAGTCGAAGGGGTTTCGCCGCGAGTTCCTCGGAAGCAGCCCGGCCGAAGTCGATTCGTGAAAATCGGATGATGCGACAGATGTCGTGTCTCAACTCTCGCGGAACGATGACGTTACGGGGCGTCGAATTTGGTGGCGAAACGAATCATCTTTGTCGTCTTCCTTCAGCAGCTGGCAAGCCTTCCCGTCCCGCGGGAAGAAAACCTCGGAAACGGACTGTACCGATGCGATGGGTTGCTCTAAAGATATCGCTGCGTCCACACGGCCAGGAATAGAACCGTGACGTCGTTGTTCGTCGACGAGAGCGAACACCAACTCTTCGGTTTCGCCGCCGACAGTCAGCCAATGGGATCCGCTTCGAGGTCGATGCTGAAGACGGCCCACCCGCGGTTCCGATTTCGTCGCGGCCACTTCCTCGTTTCCCTCGTGTCCGAGTGTCACTCGGATCACTCTTTTCACTGATCGCCGAGATCTCTTTCTTTCCTCTTCTTTCCTCTTTTGTTTGGTTTCTTCTGGGACCCTTGGTATATATCTTCGATGTTGATCGCGTTTAGAGAGACCGCGTTCAGCGGTTGGTTTTGACAAATTGCGGACTCGGTGTCCAACAAGACGATCTGTCCGTGCGATTTGATACTCTAACAGGCTGACGAGGATTTTGAGTACTTTGTGGAATATTAGATGCTTGGTCTTCCACAGGAAATACGAGTGGCGTTAGAATTGAGCATGTTTAATTAAACCCTTGCCTTAGAATAACGTGCGAGACTGGTGAACATTTTAGATAGAATTTAACGAAGATGAACGCTACTCAATTCCTTTGAATTCAGATGGAATATTATTCTTTTGTTATCAAGTGTTGTATTGTAAGACAAACGTAGACGTAGAGTATGCTTCGAACTTCTTTCGTTTCAATAAATTATTACTGACGAAGTTGTCGCATCGATCATAGTTGAAAAATAAATGATAGGGTAAGCGGTTAACCCTTTGCACTCGGAAGTTTCTCATTAGAAATATTTAATATTTTTGACAATATAAAGACGATATTCTTTGAAACTTATAATTCGAAGGGAAACCACAAGTATATTGAGGAACAAAGCTATTTTATTCCAATGTTTCATGTGTCGAGGCATTATACAAAGTTAAACATTAAATATCAGATTTTATAGTTTTATTGCAAAGGGTTAATAACTACACGGATTTGTCGAAATGTTAATTATTATAAAAGTTATGCATTCGAAATGCATGTCTCTATCTCGAAGAATTAGCTTAAAATATTTATAAGAAATTAAATAATTAAGATATCGAAACAGAGTACCACATTTTGGTTAATATATTTCTATTTACAAATCCACGAAAATGTTTGCCTTCGTATGTTTCAGTTGTCTGCAATCGAAGTATCTAACAATGAATGTTTTGCGAAAAGGGGTTGCGAAGCTAGCAAAGAATTGCGCCATTTTGTAACACTTTGACTTAGAAAAAATATAAATATACAACAGAAAATGACAGTTATACACCCAGGAAAAATCAGAAGTTCTCAGTTAATAGTTATTAACAAAAGATTCTTAAAGTTTACTTATGTTTAGGACGTCTCTAGGTGGTGTCCTCCCTTAAATGGTCCAATACACCTAACCCTCTATTCACAAGGTAGATTAGTTCCCTGAAAATGCCGTGTAAATTGAAATCGTACAATTCGAGTTCGTAATTCATATTGAAAAGAAATACACATGTAAGCAATTTAACAAATCCATATGAAACAGTATCATGAAATTACCAATATCACTCTATGTTAATATGTGTTGACTATCACGAGAAATTGCAGTGTGTTAGTTATCATCTATTCATTAACACGTTGACTGCCACGAGAATTCCTATCGTTCTAAACAGTAATACTTATTCATTAATGACAAAGGCAA